GCAAGATTATATAAGTATGTAGTGTATATATATATAATCTTGTACAATATTTGGTATATATAATATATTAAATAGGCCTTTTGTTTTTATTTGAAGACCCATGTTAATTGACAAAGAAAAAGCCTTGTACGTATACAACTAAACTAATAAACAAATGTCGGTAGAGTGAATAGTAAAAAGTCAGTTATACCCTCAACCCATGTAGTATAGTGTAGAGTGAATATTTTGAGGGTATTTTGGTAAAAAAAAGTAAAAAAAAAAAAGAAAATTCAAATGAAAGTCATGTCGGCTGAAGAAGAATTGAATCCTGCCCCGAACCCTAACAGCGTAGCCGCAGTCACGCCAAGGCATATCAAGGATTTCTACACGCCACGGTAAGCAATTTGCTCTCTCTAGGCTATAGAGATTTTTCCCAAATTAATTTCACGGATTATGAAATTCTAATTCAATGTTTTAATTTGAATATCATAGATGTTACCTACCAAGCATTTGTCGGGTGCTCATAAAAGAAAAAAAAAAAAAAGCAACTTGATCAGGCCACAAAGTCGCAGAGGGGTGCTCTACATAGGTTTTTTTCAGTTTCAAGTAATGTTGAAGTCGGTCAAGATCAGGGGCATCAACATGTTGCAGACGTCGATGCCAATGACGAGCAGAATTTAGATGCTGAAGCTAATGCCAATGATGATACTCAGGCTCCGGGAGATGATACTCAAGCTCCGGGAGATGATGTTGAAGATCAGGGGCATCAACAAGAAGATGAGATGTCGACTATTTTTGATCCTAGAACATGGGAATGTCTTGACAATAGGAAAAGAGACATCTTAATTGAGAAAGGGCCTGTGTGAGAACTGAATCTACAATTCCCAAAAGATCCTACTGCCAGACATTTTTCTTATGCTTACTATTCCAGAAATTTATCTAATGGTGAGATTGTTGACAGAAAGTGGTTGGTTTATTCTAAACATGTGGACAAGGTTTATTGTTTTTGCTGCAAGTTATTTAAATCAAATCAGAACAAGTCTCATTTAGCATCAGATGGAGTCAGGGATTGGAAGCATCTCAGTGAGAAACTGAAAACACATGAGAACAGTGAGGAGCATTTGACATGCATGAGTACATGGAACGAGCTTCGGCATAGATTAAGCAAAAATAAAACAATTGATGATGAGATGCAACGGGAAAATGCAAATGAAAAGGAGCGTTGGAGGCAGGTCCTGGTAAGAATAGTCTCTATTGTGAAGTTTCTTGCTAAGCAAAATCTAGCATTTCGAGGAGCAAATGAAAAAATATATCAACGTAACAATGGTAATTTTCTAGTCACGGTTGAAATGATTGCTGAATTTGATCCTGTGATGCAAGAACATATTAGGCACATTCAAAGTGCAGAAATTCATCATCATTATCTTGGCCATAATATCCAGAATGAGTTAGTTCAAGTTCTTGCTGATGCTGTGAAAAATCATATCTTAAAGATTGTCAAAGATGCCAAGTATTTTTCCATTATTTTGGATTGTACCCCAGATGTGAGCCATGAAGAACAAATGACACTAATTATACGTTGTGTTAATATGTCAAGAACCATTCCAAGAGTTGAGGAATTTTTCTTGGAGTTCTTACGGGTTGATGACACCTCTGGATTGGGGCTTTTTAATGTTTTATTGGATGCACTGCGGTCTCTTGGTTTGAACATTGATGATGTGAGACGTCAAGGTTATGACAATGGTTCGAACATGAAGGAGAAACATAAAGGTGTGCAGACACGTGTGCTTGAAATTAATCCAATAGCATTATATATGCCGTGTGCATGTCATAGTTTGAATCTCACTCTTTGTGACATGGCAAACTCTTGCACAACAGTTGTTACATTCTTTGGTGTTATACAACGGATATACTGTCTGTTTGCACGCTCTACTAAAAGGTGGAAAATTTTGAAGGATAATGTTGAGAGGTTTACTGTCAAACCCTTGTCTGATACTCGTTGGGAGAGTCGAGTAAAGAGTGTGCAGCCTATCAGGTATCAAACCCCGCAAATAATATCAGCTTTGAAGGAACTAGAAAGAGTTGCTAATGACGAACATGACTCCAAAACAGTAAGTGATGCTCAATAATTGGTAACTGCACTTCATAAATTTGAATTTATAGTTGGCATGGTTATCTGGGATGATATTTTATCTACTATCAACATGGTGAGCAAAAAGTTACAATCTAAGATTGTGTGCTTAGATGTGACTCTCAAACAAATTAAAGGGGTCATCACATATTTCCAGAAGTATAGAGAAGATGGCTTCGATGCTAGTATTGAGACTGCAAAATCCATTGCATCTAGTATAGGCATAGAACTAAAATTTCCTACAAAACGTCAAGCTAAAAGAAAGAAGCATTTTGATGAAGAAGATGATGAAAGTGAAGAATTACAACGTTCAGCTATTGAAACCTTTAAACATGAGTATTTCCTAGTTGTTGTGGATACTGCAATTGCTTCATTGACTAGTCGATTTGAGAAGCTAAAGGAATTTGAGGAAATATTTGGTTTCTTATTCAACTCAGAAAATCTGAAATCCTTGGATGATAATGATCTACGAAAGTGTTGCACTACTTTTGTAAAGAAATTTTCTCATGAAAATAAGTCTGATGTAGAGTTGGAAGATTTTTTCTCTGAACTAAAAGTGCTACGAAGTTCTTTGCCAGAAGAATTGATGTCAGCAGTTGAGATTCTTCAGTTTGTTAAAGCTGCAGAATGCTATCCAAATGTCTCCATTGCATATCGAATTTTGTTAACCATTCCAGTGACAGTAGCATCAGCCGAAAGAAGTTTCTCCAAATTGAAACTTTTGAAAAATTATTTGAGGTCCACTATGTCACAAGAAAGGTTGAATGGTTTAGCTATGTGCGCCATTGAGAAGGATATTTTGGACGACATTAATCTTGATGCTGTTATTGAAGATTTTGCATCAAGAAATGCCCATAGACGGTTTTTATCAATGAACTAAACCACTACATCTTATTTGAGGTAATTAGAATAGTTGCTATTTTTTAGTTTTTTATTACAGCATTATTATGTTTCATAATCTAAACATGTACCGCAAAGAATTTTTATTTGAATACTATATATATATATATATATATATA